TCCACATTTTATGAGGAATACCAAAGTGAATGTGCATCTTGGGACATCGGGATCTTATAGGATAACAAAAATAGAATTGGATGGAATGAATTATAAATTCAGTTCCAGTAACGTATTAGAGCATTAAAATTGGTATTTTTAGAATATAGACACTCAATTGGTAATACGAAACTGGAAAAGTCCTATAAAATGTTAGAATATCAAATCCCTAAAACATCCGGATTTTTTGAAATATTCTGGGAGGGGTTTGGAAACGAAGTTCAGAACTTTTGAAACTCGAAAATTCTAGAAAATTCAGAAATTCTAGAAAATTCTAGAAAATTCAGAAATTCAGAAATTCAGAAATTCAGAAATTCAGAAATTCAGAAATTCAGAAATTCAGAAATTCAGAAATTCAGAAATTCAGAAATTCAGAAATTCAGAAATTCAGAAATTCAGAAATTCAGAAATTCAGAAATTCAGAAATTCAGAAATTCAGAAATTCGGAAATTCAGGAATTCAGAATTTCAGAAATTCAGAATTTCAGAAATTAAGAAATTCAGAAATTCAAAGATTCATTTTGAAATTTCCCGAAAACACGAAATAAGTAACATTTCGTACATTTTCAATGGTCAGGATTAGAACAAATGACTTTTTGAAAAACCATAGTAAGCATTTGAAACTATAGAAAGTGAAATCTTGAACGATAAAAGTAACCACAGTAGAACAATTTGAAAAAAAAAGACTGTTGCCGCCAAAGATCAGCCAAGATTAGCTGTGAAGAACCTACCGACCCCCGCCCGAACTTAAAACTGTCAGAAACGTCAAACAGAAAAAAGAAAGAGACGAAAAAAAAATTTGGGACCTTGTTTGTTGATTCTGCCTAAATCCTTCTAACCTTTTGTTTTACTACAACCATTCCGTTTAACGTCATCTGCTCTTTTTCCCACACAACCAATTTTGGGATTCAAATGCTAAACTTGGGATTAAGGACACATAAACATTAGGCACAAACACATACTAACCACTTACTCTTAAGCTTTTTCTCTTGATGGGTCGGGGAGCGACCCCAAGTAGTTAGTGGGAAAACGAAGGAAAACGAAGATCGCGGTAGCCTGGGGGACTAGAGAGATGAATTGAAGTGTTTGGGTAAGATAGTACTCGTTCTACCTTTCTCTTTTTCTCTCTTAGCTCACAAGAAAGTGAGAGAGAGGGGGAAAGAGTGCTTGGGAATATCTTGGATCGACAAAGTCAACATAAGCTCTGTGACAGTGTCGGCTCTCAAGATGTGCATCGATATATGTTTAATTGGTGTCCCGGGAGGGATGTTTGAAGACGATACGGGAGGAAAGCCTAGAGGTCAGGTGGCCTAACGCCGGTATATTGATCTCGGGAATGACAAGAATATATACATGACCGTATTACAAACTTCAAGTGGTTCTCTTCCATCTTTTGCTTTTTCAAACAACATGTTAGAGATGCTCGACGTTAATTAGACCAGCGGGTGTCCGATTTCGGGGTCTAAGAAACACGGAAATGCGATAAGTGGAAGGCATCGCCGAAATTTTGTTACATATAACTTGCATGAAGGCAGAAAACGATATACGAGGGGCTTGGTATCAAGAAGTTTTGCACAAATGAGCACGGCGCAGTCAAAGTTAAAAATAATGAAAACCTTAAATCTAGCATTTGCCCAGGTCCCGGTGCTGATAACATTGGAAGACTGTTAAACTTGATATGAATTTTAAGAGCTCTTCGAGCTGTAATTTTGCATTCTCATCGCAATCAAACATATAAGTAAAATTTTTAAAAATGTCAGTTTAATTGCTACACAAGCCATAGAAATCCTTGTGATTACTTTTATAATAGAATACCAACCTATACTTCTATTTTGAGCTCACTGCAATCGGTTCTTATGAGAGATATCAAGAATCTGACAACTGTTGGAATATTGGTATTGTTATGATAACAATTTATCAATTGATACATGTTTGATATCTCTCGTAAGCACCAAACAATTAGAACTCAAAGTGCAAGCAAACAGTGACGCTCTAATACTAGCCCACGACATAAATTCCTCCTGAGTTCAATTATCTCGGTCTGTTTTTAAAAGACATTGGAAAAAGTAAATAAATAAGTTATTCATCATAGTATCACCAATAGTTTATCAGCTGATACATTTTCAATATCTCTCATAGGCGCCGAGATAGTTGAGCTTAAACTTTACAGAACGGGTAATTCAAGTTTTAGAATCCCTTTGAATTCTGTAACTTCTCAGAAAAAGGATCTTTAAAAAAGAATAAATATAAAAAACTGTTGAGATATAATTCTAGCATTCAGACTGATTTTGAATTAAAATCACAGCTGGAAATGTTTCTAACTCCACCCATCTAAGCAACAATTTGAAACTGACTCCTTCTGGATTTTTTTTGGATTTCTTACTAGTAAAAAAACACCAAAATAGTGTAGTTTACAATTTCTCCTACAAACATGCCCCATAATGTCATCTCCTCCAACTCAATTGTTATGAGCCACCCAACCCCAAAATGCACCGGATAAAGATTGGAGACACGTTGTCGTTGGGTTGTAACATGAAGAATGAAAACGCAAATCAGCGGAAGAAACACAACGTTTCCTGCTGACCCTACTCGCTGTTTTTAAAAACTAGAAGGAATAACACGTTTTTCGCAGTAGTGACAAGTGTAAAATATACATTTTTGCGATGGTCTTAAGGGAGCCATCCCAAGAGTGGAATTACGATTACCATGTATAAAAAGGTATGCAAATTTTGAAAATGGCAAAGAGAGATAGGTTGGTTACTCACTCTTCTTTCAACACCTAATTTACATGACGGTGAATAGTGTAAAATTGAAATTTTGGAAAATTTTAACCTTCGGGGGCGTCAAAAATGAAGAAAGAGAGCTAATTGAAAAATGAGACTGACCAGAAGGGAATAACGAATATTGCGTGTGTGTAGTTATTTTGTACATTTGCCTGGCGCCCTCCACGTCTCCAACTAGTACTAGCCATCTCAAAATTGACATGTTTTTCGGGGGGCCCAAGGATTACAACTTCCGCTGCTCTCAGAAATAGCTCCCCATCAACACTCTTCTTCAATTATCTCCAAATTTTTTTAAGGCTTATGGTTTTTGTTAAAATCCTCTCTTCAAAAAAAAAAATAGAACCATGTGTTCAGTTGATTCCTTCTGACACAAATTGTAATTGCATCCATCTGACAAGAGTGATGTGCTCCGCGCCGAGAGACAAAAATTGCCACCGATTGTGCCTCGGGGCAAGAATAAGGAATTAGGGCTACTTTTGGCCAAGTTGTCGGGAAACACAATGTCAGGAGATGTGAGGTAATTATCGAAGGAAATAGAAGAAGAGCTGGAACATTTTTTGGCGAGGGACGGACAAAATAAAAATACAAGATCCATGATGGCAGAGAAACGAAGACTGAATGTGAGAAAAAAATGCATATGAATTATAAACAAATCGGAAAAAACAAAATAATTATGATGAGATTTGAAGATAAGAACAGAAGGATTCATCCATTTCTGGCATTTGAATAAAAATGAGGATTACGTGTGTTTTTCAATTAAAAATTTCGGTTATATACAGTATAAAATCGAAATGGGTTTTTGTACTTGTGAAACAGGGAAAAGCAACATTTTGAAATTTCTCATTTTTAGGATCGACTATTAACCTTATCCCTCATTTTGGGCGATAAAACGTAAAACTTTGGTCTCTTGAAGATTTCTACGATTTTACGTTAATTTAAAGGTCCCTTGAAAAATTAGGCTACCTTGACCAAATCGATGTCCCAGGAATATATTCATTACCAGATGAAAAAGTGGCGGTCCAATTTAAATTTTCAATGTCTTTTGAAAAAATAGCGGTCCTATTAAAAATTCGATGCTGCGTTTGACCGAATTGAAAGACCATAAAGTCTTACATGGGACCATAGTTTTTTCGCCGGACCGTAAAATTCTCATTCGGACCGCTATTTTTTAATGGGACCATGAAACTTTCAATGAGACCGTAATCTTCTCGTAGACTGTTAATTATTATGGGATCGTAAAAGGCACCGTAAAAACCAAACTGTGTCATCATTTGAGAAATTTATCCTAGTTTATTGCTTTTTATGCCAAAAATTTAAGTCAGTGAGATTGAAATTCAATTCTTATTAAAGTATTTTCGTTCCCTCATCGATTTTTTTTTCGAGCAAAATTATCACACACCCATGCGGTATCGTATACGAAACAAGTGGCTGTGAGAAACTTATGCTCTCGAGTTTTTACCAAAACAAAGTGCTCAAGAAAACGCCCACTTGAGGATAATTGGCTGTGTGCTATGCTATGCCTACTTACCATATTTGAGACGTCAAAGTAGACAAGCCCTCGTTCAGATATCATCATTGAAATGGGAAAGATGGAACCTGAAATTTGGAATTGGAGTTTTAAGCTAAAAAGTTAGGAAACAAATAGACTTCAAAATCCAGAAATAAAGTTTCTAAAGCATTTTTTCCCAGACAAAACACATAGAAAATCTCTAGACTTATATACCGCTTATATGTGCATCAAACTAAGAAGAATATCGTGTTTTTATAAGACTCAGTTCATTAGAAAAAGAAAAATAATAGTAGGAGCTGTTAGCAAACAACTGAGGCAGCACACTATTTTTTATCGGGCAGGAGGATGTAAAAAAAAACAAAATACATTCATTACAATACAATTATTAAGATCATGGAAAATTTTCAGGCAGTTTCGATCATGGGACAAATACGTATGGCCTGGATTGCCCCCAGAAAAGATGGATGAAAAGATGAGGAGAGAAAAGAGTTCAGCAAACTTCCGAATCTAATATGAATGAATAATAATTGAATGAATGAGATAGAGATATATATGCGGAAGCTTCTCGCATAAAACAAAAGGGTTGGGAGAAATTTTTCAAAAGAAAAAAATCATGAAAAATTGAAAAACAAAACTGAAAATTGAGCATAAATCAAGAGAGAGAGAGAGTTAGCACAGTGGAGTTATTGCTTGTGAATCCGTAAAAAGGCCGACTTCTGTTATCCCCACTTGGCCCACGTTCATCACTGCTGAGGTATTTTGCCATGCCACAATGTAAAACTGAAAAACAGACAATATTATTATTTGTTCCCCTATGTTTTTTGTCTTACCGTAGTTAATTCCCCGGGTAATAAGACAACTTCTTTCGTCCACTCTCTAGCAAATGGTTTCGCACTGTTTTCGTAGACATTCCAGAAGCAACTGAAGAAAAATCCAGTTTTGAAATTGACCTCTCTCGAGACTAACCTAGTTGCAAAGCCGTCTTCACATACGGAAAGGTATAATCCTTTTGTTGAGAGAAACTTGCGGAAGCTTAGATAGGCGCCCGGTGCGTCGCTAATTGTGAATTCTGGTGCTTCGAGGACGTACCGATCTACGGTCTTCGCGCGGTTGTAGCCAAGGAAATTGGCAACCAGGAAGGGTTTATCTGAAATAATATATTGGGTACGATTCGTAAACATGCCATGAAAGTTTCAAATATGTGATTGCAAATAAAAAGAAGACGCAATTAGACCACAGTACTAATCAAAAGTTTACTAGCTTGAAAAGCCTCACTTTCATCAATAAAGCTTCAATTTTGTTCGCTTTGTAAACCGGTACATTCAAAAGGTACAGAATATAAAGTTTACAATTGTTTTTGACATAATATACTTGTTTTCGAATTATACGCGATTTCAAAAATTCAAGATTCTTAAATGAATGCTACTTTCATATAGAACGTTGAAAATCATAGTTTTCAGAAATTCACCTTTTGATGAATCCGGAGATGTGTGAATCCCGGTCAATTTATTGGCGATATTTCGTTTCACTGTGGTTATTCTCCACCCGACCAGATATCCTTCTCCAGATGCTCCGGATCCTGACCTTTTATAGTCACATGGTGCATTTTCCTGGTCCATCAAACATTGCAAAGATCTGAAATTAAGTTTGGAAGACATTCAGATTTTTCTTTACTCACTGGCAATCATTATCCACATTCTCGTTCAACATAATCAACTCATTAATTGAATTCGATGCGTTCACAATTGTTGGCGCTGCTTGTTGCTTCACTTCTCGGGAAACCAAGTGAGGCTCTGGTTGGACGTCTGATTTACTTAAAATTTCATTTCATTTTTTCAATTCCCTCACCTGGTGTATCACCGGACACCACATGCTCATCGTCTTTGATTTCCTCGGTTTTTCCAGATTTGAACAACTCAATTTCCGTTTCATCGATATTCTTCTCAACACAATTTTCCGGTTGATCAAGCTCGGCAAAGTATTCAATTTCGTCAAGTAGAATCAAGCCTCCCTCTGGTTCGTTTTCGAAATTGTACCCTTTCAAGACAATCTAAAGGTTCATGTATAAATTGATTTTGGTCATAAAGAAGTAATTCGGTTACCACAAAAGGTTCCATTACTGGTGGAATGCTTGCAATAATTGTGTGGTTGTCGGTGGGAACGACGGTCATGCAATTCTCAAGATTGGCCTCCAAAACTTTTCTAGTACAGATATCGAGTTTTGGTTCGCTTCCGATTGTTCTCGCCCGGCTGAACAAGTGAAAAAATTGAGAAAGAATCATTTTATTACACCAAACCTTCTCCAGAATCGAAAACTGAGGATGCCTGTTGATTGTTGACAACCAATTGCCAGCGACACTAATTGGCCATTTTGCTGCGACGGGCGTGGGTCGGAAGCCAGAATCAAGAAACTTTGATCTGAACGATTAGTTTGGACAATTAGTTTGTAAAATTAGCAAGAACAGTTGTTTCAAAAATAAAATAAAAACTTTTTTGTCTTTTTTCTCTCACCGAAACTTCCGGGAAGGGACTGAGATCCTGTGATCAGCGCTAATTTAGCGGGATCCACATATCCTTCACCTAGTACCCAATCCAAATCGTCTTCAATTGTATTCTGCCAAGTGCAATTCAATACAGACAAACAGTGGAGTTCAGAATCTTTTCTGGCATAATCAGAATTGGTGCCACGTTCAGAATATGCTCTAGCACGGACATGAGCTCCAAGGAATCCTGAAATACGGAGTTTTTGAAGAATCATGTGGGGTGGGCTACTGTACCATTATAAGATCCCTGACTGCTAGTTTGGGAGCCACTAGCGTATTGGGCTCGGCATTGTGAGCTGTATCGATATGTGGCAACTGAGCAGGATCCTTGATTTGAAAGGCATGGGAAGACTGGAATAGGAATTTCAATGTTAATATTTTTTAGGGTAAAAGGTTTTACCGTAAACCCTGTAATAAAAGGGGATTCTAACTTTTCCCAATTTATCTTGGTTCTTGTTAAAGATATGAAAAATTGTTAACTGACAAGTTGTGTAACATAATATCACAAACATTTTATCAGTTAGCACATTTCTGATATCTCTTAAAGAAATCGAGATAATTTAGCTTAAACTTGATAGTGTGGGTCCCTTCTATTTCAGGTTTTACGGTATGTTATCTGAAAACTTGCTTTTCTTTGCAAAATTTTCAACTAATTCTCCAAATTCCAATCTAAAGTTTAAAACCAAAAGTATCAAAATTGGCAAAATCTCAGACACGAATTTCGACAAAATACTTGTCAATTTACTCTGAAAGTTTCTGACAAATCAAAAATTCTAAACTATTACTTTAGGTGTTAAAATTAGGTCATTTTTCACTTGAATAAATCGAAATATTTTTTTTTGTTCAGTACGGTAAGCTAAAAATCGAAAAAACTCGGATATTAAAAATAAAGGGATAACAAACTCACCTTCGTCAATGCTGATATACATTGAATATAACAGTAGAAATATAGCAAATTTCATTGATATATCATCGATAACCTTTTCGCATTATATCGATTCAATAAAAAGAGAAATTAGAAAGTAAAATAAAAAAGCAAGTGAAGTGAGAGGGAGAAGCTTTTTGACTCTTCACCTCTTCTGTCCGGTTTGTAAATGACACCGAAATGAAAATTGACGACGGTCACTTCTCAGCGATTCACTTTTCTTCCTTGCTTTTCAACAAGTGGATTTATTGCACTAGGGTCTTTTTGCAGAGAGTGGTGGACAGTCTCGAAAGACAGCTAATTATACCTTTGTGGCACTTTCCCCTATGAACTTCTTCCTTATTATGCATAATATCCATCCGCCCCCTTTCTTTTCAACATTTCTCAAGCGCATGGGAAATCCGCACTCAACGCAGTTTTGAGAAATTGGAACGATTTCAAATGAATCCATTCATTAATTCAGTTTTCATGAACGATTATGATGCAAATTTTCCTTTAAATCGGATTATCAAACATCTTCAAAGATTTCTTCTGTGGATGAAGGCAAGGTTGTTGGAAGAGTTTGACTGTTCCATTTCTATAGGCCACGTTGTATCCGAACTTGGGAATATTGGCGCATGCAACTCCAGTATGTCCATGAGCATCCATCGCCACAACAGCGCCTGAACCACGAAAATTGAAAAAAGAAACACTTAAAAAGGGATAATAATACCTGAAAACTTGGGATACACATCTAGAATCTTCTGTATAGCTTTATGGGTAGCTTTTGACGGTTTCGATCCTAATTCCATTTGAGTAACTGTGTAGAAACTAGGTAAAAATCTCATCATCACATCACCATCTCCTGTAGCAGCTGCTCCACCAAACGCGTTTGCATAAGCTCCTGCTCCAGGAATAGGGCTATCGCCGACGCGACCAGGAATATGAAAAAATAACAATAATTTTAATGAACATTATATTTAATGAGGTACTTTAAATCGAGCTCCATTTGATGACGTTCCAGCACTGAACTTTTGATTAAGATCCATGACAACCATGCCGATGGTGTCGTGGTTAGTTCTGAAATGATGGTATGAGAGAGTTCACCAGGGTAGTAAAAAAAGATGTTTTCGAAATTTTCGGTTTAAAATTATTCAGTTTTTTGAAAAAAAGTTTTTATGGCAAAATCAAAAAGTTTGTAGAAATGTATACACAGAAGTTGGAAGACAGTCTGTCAAAGTTTCAAAAAAAAATATATGACTGAAATTTTCGATCATAAATGGAAAACCCCGTTAATCTCGAAAAACCTTTGTTTTACTTTTATCGAACAGGCTCAATAAGAACATTTCAGGAAAATGACCAAAAAGCTGACTTATATTTTTTTTTATAGCATTAATTTCAAAATACTAACTTTTCAACACGGTATCCTGCTTCGCGGTTTCTGTTAGATGAGAAGACTTGACTTGGTTTGTATGGACCACACGAACCGGATGGATCTGGGGAGACATTCTGAAAATTTCGATGTTGGTTAATGTAAAGAATTCACAGATTTTCTTTGAAAATTTTTTGTTACTCAGCTAATTGCCGCTATCTGAAAGACATCCATTTTGGACGGTTTTTGTACTGAAAAAAGAATCATCGAACAGCTGAAAAACTAAGAATTTCTGAAAAATTTTTCTAACAAGGGAACCTCAACACCTCACAGACCCAGATTTTGATGAGAGCTTCAGGACATGTCAGAGATAGCCTATCTATCCATATTAGAAATTTTTAGAATCCGCCCGCCAGTTTCAGCCGAGTTATATCAGTTTCAGTATCAAAAATCGCCTTTTCAGTGCAAAACAGCAATTTTCAAAGACGGTTTTCTCAAGTCCTGAATTTTGATATTTCAAACTATTTCTCTGGAATTTTTTTTATTTTCGAAGAGCTCTGGAAAATCGTGAAAAAATTCAG